CTAAGGACTGGGAATGTGCGGAATTACGTCTTCAAAAACAAGTTGATAGTATAATGGCCGATGAGTTACAGCAGATTAAAGCATAAGATATTGTAAGTTTTTAAATCGTTTAGTTTCAAAAAAATACGTAATTTTTAATTTTTTTAAAGAAAAATTGTACACGAAATATTTTATTCGTGTACAATTTTAACTCCGTCTACGATAATTGTAGTCGGTCCCAAGCTCGGATAAAAGAGGAGGGTTTTAACTTTTATAATGGGAAAATTAGGCCATGTACTATTTCATCAAAATTTTGAAAAATCCTTCCTAACTTAAATTTTGTCACTGGATACGATTTTTTACCAAATATTCCAACGTAAATCTTTTCAAATCACGCTAACTTCATAATCCTCATTCCATCCTCCATTCCCTTTACTCCAAGATTCTCCCAAGTGCACCAAGACCCCATTGTAAACAAGATGCGTAGTGGAAAGCTGACAAATTCTGCACTATGACCATATCTCCCCTCCCACCCACCATATGCTTCTCTGCCAATATCCTCGTCAATGTCGTTTTCTGTGTTCAATCAAAAAAATGAAAAAAATAAAACAATTAAATTTCTCAGTAAAAAAAAAGGAACCAGATCCATTGGCGCCGACAAGGAAACACCAAGTTTCAACTGAGATATTGAGGTTGAAGGCCTAAAAAATGAACCAATTTGATAAATGCTTTAATAACTAATTAAATCACTTAAGGATAGTAATTAATACGTTATAAAATCCAAAACCTATAAAAAAAATCCATATATCTTATCCACGACCCCCACTGTAAACAGCAAGCACCATTTCATCCACCTAAAACCCTCAACTTCTCCCAAAATTCATCCAAAATCATAGAGAAATTGCAAAATATCGATGATTTCGAGCTTTTCAGCCATCGACCAAAGTTTTGCGACCCATATCGTCTTCTTTTTCGACTCTTCCAATGAGATTGAAACAATCTATGTGTCCGAACTGATTTCCGATAAAAGCTATTCTCTTTGCTGTTCCGAGAATGTTTACTCCCACTTGTTCCCAGAAAAATCTCCCAGGGTTCGTCGAGAAAGCTTGAGAGTTAAAGGCCAAGGGGATGGATACAATTGCGCACATTTCTGTTGATGATGAGTTTGTGATAAAAGTCTGGGAGAAGGACTTGAATATTGGTGATGAGCAGATGAGGTGGTGTTATTGAGTGATGGGAATTTTACCGAGGCTAGGTTGCGAGCGGGATTGTCACTTTTTTTTTTTAGTTTGTGTAACTTTTCTTTTTTTGAATTTTGTCAAGTGTTTGTTACTTTTTTTTTTAATGTGTGCAACTTTTTTAATATGTTATTTTTTTAAATTAGTCACTTTTTTGAATGTTTGGTCAAATTTTTAGTATTTGTCACATTTTTTTAGTCGCCTTCTTGAAATTTCTATCACTTTTTTAGTAATAAACACCATTTTTAATAAAAGATAAATTGTATGTATTTAATAAGAAGATGATACAAAACTTTTAAAAGTGACATTATAACACTTTTTTAAAAATAGTGACAATTTTATCACTTTTTTGTGTGTTTGTAACTTTTTTCGTGCCACTTTTATGAATTTTTTCACTTTTTATTGTTT